ACCATACTAGGAAACAGTCCATAGAAATCGTAAGGATACAAGCCACAAAGTTACAGTCACACAGTCACAAGTGGGAGGGGATGGGTGATCAGGAGTAATGAGATGATCAATAGTAATAGTAGTTAGTAGTACAGACTCTGTGAATAGTTGGACAGTGTTGAGGGAATTATTTATTTAGCAAGTGATGGCATTCAGGAAAAACCTGTTTTGTGTCTAGTTGTTCTGGTGTATACCTTCCTTCTCTCTTTATAAGGCAAGTACAAGCAGTCCTCGACTTACAACCACAACTGAGCCCCAAACTTCTGTGGCTGAGACATTATGTTAAGCGGGTTTCGCCTGGTTTTACGACCTTTCTTCTTGCCACAGCGGTTAAGGGAATCGCTGCACTTAAGCTGATAAGCTAGCAAACTCAGTTGTTCGGTGAATCTGGCTTCCCCACCGACTTTGCTCGACAGTGGTCGCAAAAGGGGATCACGTGACCCCATGGAACGCTGCCATGGTCATAAGTATGAATCCGTCGCCAAGTGTCTGGATTTGGATCACTTGATCACAAGATGCTGCAATGGTCGTTAAGTGGCTTTAAGTTGTGACTTTGAACGGTCACTAAACAAACTTGCAAATCAAGGACTAGCCGTATCATGCAAAAGACTGGTCAGGATTTTAATTTGGGCAACCTTCCCAATCTGATCTTCTCACCTCATCATCCAGATAGTTTTTCGTTCTTTAAGAAGCTCTATGTTTCCCATAGCATGTTGAGAATTAATGTTTTACTGGGTTGTAGTTTTTTTTTAAAAAAAAAATTATATTCCACCGGCCCCATCAAATAATACGCCGTGCAAAAAATAAGTTATGGCATTGAATTTGTGCAAGTCAGTCCACGTTACAGTGGGACAGACGATGGCCGCTGTGTTCCCTGTGGAAATCTGGACAGGAAAACTTAATTATTGCAATCGAATATGAAATAGGAAGAGGGTACGTGTTGGCCTCACTGAGCTATTTCTGAAACAACAAAAGCGGGATAGAAATAAATAAGTAGAACATTGAGAAGAGAGGGCCATTTTTCCACTTCAGCGACGTCACCTTTTCCAAAATCGAAGGAGAACTTGTCCTTTCGGTCCCGGCTGGAGTCAAACTTGGAGCCATCCAGAAGCCATCCGGTGTAGTGGACGGTCACTTTGTCCCCTATCATGGGGGATTCAGTGCCCGTCCCTTCTTTCTTGATCACCTGCCAAGGGAGAGAAGGAAGCGGACACGGCTTGAGGGCCCGTCCAAAAGCCCCGCTCTACCGGTGGCCAAAACCAAAGCCAAGCCAGGCAGCAGCTCCCTTTTTATGGTGTCAGGAGAGAGTCTGGCGCTCCCTGCTTAGTGGCCTTAGGTCGCAAAGCGAAAACTGGCTGGTCCGGAGCAGGAAGAGTGCCGAGGGCCACTTTCCTTCTGCCCAGGGAGAGAAAAGGGGGACGAGGTGGGGACTGAGGGGCCTGCCCCCCCTCACTGCCCTAAAGCCCCCCACAATTGCCCCACCGCCCCCATATTCCTCCCATTGTCCTTAATAGCACTCCCACCCCTAATAGCCCCCCTAATTGCACCCCAATATTCCTCCCATCATCCCTAATAGCCCAATTGCACCCCAATACTCTTCCCATTCTCCCTAATAGCCCCCCACCCCTAATAGCCCCCTCATTGCACCCCAATACTCCATCCCGCCCCAATAGCCCCAAACCATCCCTAATAGCCCTCATTGCACCC